ATTAAAATCCGTACTGAAATATTTCCTAATCTCGGTCCTCTTACGAGCACGCCTACCATATCCATATTTTTTAATCTTTCTGCTAAGTGTAACTACCACAGAATAGATCAAAGTTTTCGTATATGTAGTTACTACCTTATTAAAATGGTTAACCAATATTTCTGCAAGCCACTAAACTTAATATATTGCTTATCTATACAGTTGAGAAATTCAGGTGCTATATATCATTACACCCATCGTCTAAATTAATTTCTTAACCATCTTGCAGGCAAGTTCATATTAGAAACTTGTCAAGAAGGAAGCGATTCATAAATAATTTAGTGAAATTATTCACAAATTATTTGTGTTGCTCTTGTTGGAATCCCTAAGAATACGGTATCAATTTATGTATTCGACATATTCTCTGGTCTATAAGTTGCTTGTTCCATAGACCGCTCCATGTAATATCCTATAGCTCGTAATGTGATAAATATTTTATCAAAAACCCTTAAGGATCATATGAACTATCATAAACAATACACTTGGTAGTTACAACTTCGGAAACTTTATTAAGGATACTTTTATGTTCCCTACAATCTTCTACATACATGATGACTCTAGAGCACTATTATGTTGCTCATTCTTCTTATGTCTATCTAGCATATCCATAAAGATCTCAATTTTTTTTTCATGGAGTTAAGTACCTTTTTGTGATAGCACTCCTCTATCGCTGTAGTGGTGGACTAGTATAAATTTCTAAAATGCACTCTATTATGCATCTTACCGGAAAGCACCTCATATGGCATAAGAAACCTTTCACTAGTCTTGTATACTACATATGTAGCATTTCTATGCTTGGAGATAGCTGCATGTCCATTGGCAAAATTTGACGTCTTTAAAGTTTGAACCTCTAGCCAAATTCTATTATAGAGTAATTGGTCCGAGCTATACAAAAATAGGATAAGTAATGATAGATTCAGTTATTTGGTCCTAATCGCCACACACGTACGGAGGAATAAGAAAGAAATACAAGACACATCCTATCACGCCCTCGCAGAATCACGATTATGGGAATGGCCGGCTACATAACCATAATTGAGATTCTACTACCGACGTGTGCTCCATTAGTCACAAGAATAACCTAGTGCTCTGATACCAACTTTGTCACGACCCAATTTAGGATCATGACCAGCGCTTAGGAGCAAGTGCCCCCAAGTAAGCCTCATGGTAATTTACAGAAAATCGGATAGAGTTTCTCCTATTTTAGGACTATCCAAAAGTTTTTCTGTCTCATAACAAATAACAACCAACCATTATTCACCTAAATCAGTTATAGTCTTCATCAACTAACCAAAAACGAGTTTTCATCAACATTACCAACCTTATCAACATAATAACACTAAACCCATCGAAAAATACGGAAAGAAGTGTAATACTAGTAACTAGTCTAATATAACGAATGAATACTCATGACACAAATGAAATAATTATGGAGCAACTCTAAGAGTTCATAAGGAAAGACGATAATAAATAAATAAACTCTTCGCCCACGCGAACAAGTGCGGGGCTCACCAGGAACTATCAACTCGTATACTCTAATTAACGAAATCCTCGCTCGCGTAAACTGGTGTCTCTGTAAAAAAAATAGCGGGGAGTGAGTCGCTAGCTCAGTGAGTAATAACACTTAACCACAACCGTTTCAAACCGGGAACAAGTCAGAAAATATGCATGTATAATAATAATTAGAAACTATCATAAAAATAAAATGCCCTCTCAAAATGGTAAATATAATCATTCTATTCATATGTTTCCTGTAGCAGAAATCAATTTAACAAATCGGTAACAAACTCGGTAAACACTATGTCATATCTTTATGTTTGGGAGGTTTCCAAGAAAGGATCATATAATCTGTGTCACTCTGTGGACCCCTTCGTAAAAGGAGTCAAATATAACTGTAGGTCCCTACTCGAGGAAAAACTATAACTGTATGCTAGTTCTACCTTCCCACTAGCGAGGGTTATAACTGTAATCGGTAATCTGTAAATACAAGGTGCACCAGGTCTAACGAACCCGCCGTTAGCTACGGGATCCTTCAAAGTCTCCTCCCATTTATACTCTTTCTTGTAAACAGTAAATACTTGTACAAAACCATTTTCAAAATAATAAAGGGCATATCGTTTCTTATCAAATCTTGTAATTTTATTTCGGTAATGGTAATCATGTCTCAAGTAACAGTAAAACATGTCTAGTAACAATGAAAATAATTCAAATAACTATAACATCTCAAGTAATGGTAAAACATATCTAGTAACGGTAAAAACATTTAGATTAACTGGTAAACATCTCAAATAAACTGTTCGGTACCATATCAAGTAAAGGACTTGTCCCACATGCAATTTCAAAGCGTCGGTAACACATTTATTTTCAAAATCGTATATAAACCATGCAGGTTATGAAGACACAAATTGTGGTAAGATTACTACTCACCTCTAGAAGACAACTAGCCAAAGCTCGACTTCTTGTCGATCCAAATGCTCAACTTGTGTGTAAATCTATAAATCGATATAAGTCTAGTGTTACCACCCATCAATTCAACAATTCATTCATCTAAATAAACATCTTTTTACGAATGCGCTTTTCTATTCTCAAACTTTACTTCAAACTTCTTTTCTAAGTATATTGGAACACGGAGGAAATAATAGTATTGAGTTTACATCCCCATATCTTCTTAAAAGAGTTAAAGGAGTACAAACAGAAAAATTAACTTAGCATCTTATCTGCTCACCCAAACTTTTGAAAAACTATAATATTTGATCCAATTTAGACTAATTCTTTAACTTAGCCTATCTCGAATGAAATCTGNGACACAAATGAAATAATTATGGAGCAACTCTAAGAGTTCATAAGGAAAGACGATAATAAATAAATAAACTCTTCGCCCACGCGAACAAGTGCGGGGCTCACCAGGAACTATCAACTCGTATACTCTAATTAACGAAATCCTCGCTCGCGTAAACTGGTGTCTCTGTAAAAAAAAAATAGCGGGGAGTGAGTCGCTAGCTCAGTGAGTAATAACACTTAACCACAACCGTTTCAAACCGGGAACAAGTCAGAAAATATGCATGCTTTCTCTTGAGATTTCTTCAATGTTCAGTTCTACACACGTCTTTTTTTCGGAGGTCTACAGCCATTATGTGGCATAGGAGTTACATCCCGTACGAAAGTTAATAGTATACCACTTCGACGAATAGCTCGTAATGCTGCATCTCTTCCGAGACCGGGACCTTTTATCATGACTTCTGCTCGTTGCATACCTTGATCCACTACTGTACGGATAGCGTTTGCTGCTGCGGTTTGAGCAGCAAACGGTGTTCCTCTTCTCGTACCTTTGAATCCAGAAGTACCGGCGGAGGACCAAGAAACTACTCGACCCCGTACATCTGTAACAGTGACAATGGTATTATTGAAACTTGCTTGAACATGAATAACTCCCTTTGGTATTCTACGTGCACCCTTACGTGAACCAATACGTCCATTCCTACGCGAACTAATTTTCGGTATAGCTTTTGCCATATTTTATCATCTCGTAAATATGAGTCAGAGATATATGGATATATCCATTTCATGTCAAAACAGATTCTTTATTTGTACATCGGCTCTTCTGGCAAGTCTGATTATCCCTGTCTTTGTTTATGTCTCGGGTTGGAACAAATTACTATAATTCGTCCCCGCCTACGAATTAGTCGACATTTTTCACAAATTTTACGAACGGAAGCTCTTATTTTCATANAAAATCTCTTTTAACTTTTATTTTTTTTCTCCTGATGACCTAACACGTTGTTAATGGGTTAAAGCCCAATTCCTTGTTTTTGTTTTATTAGTTTTTTTTAAAAAAGTTTACTTAACTACCCTTTTATTTAATGAGAGATATTACATCTTACTTCTCCAAAATAATATCTATTTCAAATTCCTTAATATTATTATTTCTTACTTAATTCAAATAAGAAAAAATTTAATAATTAAAATTTTAGTTGCTTATAAAGTCCTAAATCGAACACAATTTGTAATTAAACTTGGATAAAACTATATTATTTATGCTAAATCTTTTTATTTGGCTAAAAATAATAAAACAAGAAAATGCTCTCTTTATAAAATTAATATAAAAGACCATAAAGAAAGCAAATTAAGTTTAGGCATGCAAACTGAAAAAAGCTGAAGAGAACAAATTGACATAATTTCAGAAAACCCATAAAAAGGAAAGGGAACAAGAATATAAATAAGTACTTTTTAAATGAAAATAACAAAAGAAAAGCAACGCACCGGCGTCTTTACAAGTTTTGTTGTGTCCCGATTAGAAGAAGTTTTATATATCTATCTATAATATATATCATTCTGTTACTTTTGATTATTTTTAAGCCAACTAATTTGGGTTTTGTTTACTAATGGAATTTTTAGAAAGATATTTATAGATTCAACTAAAAAACAGAGTATATTAGTAAGAACAAATTAGTAAAATTATTTAGAGAGCTAGTGTGATGGAGCAATTGTTACGGAAGGTCTAGAAATTATCTCTAGATGATTAGAAATTGTCCACATCCCTTTACCTCACTCCATTTTTAGCTACCTTACGACAAAAAGTTATATTTACATAACCTGATAAAAGAAAATAAAACAACTAAAAAGATAACAATATCAAGGTATTGAACGTTGCAATATTAGAATGTGAAAGTTGTCAGTCAGAGCAAGAGACAGAGGGGGTTGAAGGGAGTGGGAGACAGACAAGGATTATACAAAAGAGTGAAGACTTAAAATGCATTCTCATATTAAAATGATATCAAAAGTATGTCGATCGTCAGATTAAGCAAAACAAATTCTATCCAAGGTATATTGACATATAAAATATGCCAAACGGATAGCTTAATAAACATTCGAATAAAGTGCACTGTCTTGAAAGTAATAAGTAGTAGAGTTTAAAAGTAGCTACACCAGTCGCCTAAGCCACTTGTTCAAACGTCAGCCTCCTTCCATCCACATTCTATATAACCTTAGGATATTTACACCCTTCCTTAGCATCTGTGAACAAATAGGAAAAAGTGTTAGCATATGGAATTCAAGTTCAAAAGGAACTTTAATTTCTCACAAACATCACTTACAGCCATATGAGTAGTAGGCAGTGACACAGATGACAGACCCGTGAACTACCAAACATGTTAAGATAGCCCATATCAACTGGCAATTATACTTTTTCAACTCAGCTATACCGGCAGAATCCATTATCACTTTCGCCCGCATTTTTACCGTATCCGCCAACTCTTGAGGGTGTAAGAGGTTAGTGCTCTCATTAAGAGGACCCAGATCATATGCGGTTTGCCGAGCATCCTCTGATGTCCAAATGGTGTTTGCTCTATCGGCAAGCTCATTTTTTCTTCCATCCAAAGTATCCATAGCAGGTTGCATTCGTTTAGTTTTGATCCATAATACCCTATAGGCCATAAGGAACCCCACAATGAAAGAAATAAGTGTCAGTGTGGTGAATGTAGCAATAGCTGTACAAGGAAGCCTCGTGTTAAAAATTAGCCCCCCTCCAGTGAACAATAGAACAAAGCTGATATGATTAGTGAATGCATTAAAAATGTCTTCAGCTCGTTTCTCTAGCTTCATTATATCCAACTGAAGTCTAGTACTTTCTTCTTCCAAAGGAATCAAAGCTGTAACATTTGCTGCCAGGGCCCTAAGAGGAGGACGTGGAGGAGAAGGTGGTGGTGGAGGTGGACCATCAACTACACATAATTAAATAGCATCAATGAGAATTGAATAAAAACATAGGAAGATGAGACAAAATTCATAAGCAAAACCAGAAACCATCTACTACCAGAAAAGAGAGGTTACCAACTCATAAATTAATCCTGCCAAATCATAAATAAGAAAGGAGACATGTATCCCATATTCAAAAGAGAAATGCATGATTAATGGCCTCAAGTGTGCTGATGTGGTACAAGTGCAACGAGTATAAGATATTCAGCTCAACTTAGCAAACAACAATGGAAAATAGTCAGATTTCGAGATGATCGTGGACACAATTTTAGAGATGATATATAGTTTGGGATTACATGAGCTCAAGCCTTGGACAAGTGTCCACTGAAGCACATAAGTAGCACTTAACACGTGTCTTCCTTAATAGTTGGATTTTCATTTACTTGTACCTAATTTCAATAATTACTTAATGTCAAATTACATAGATCTGCTAGTTAGGCGGGGGCCCAATATATAGTCATTGCCACGTCTATGGATGACAGTTAACAAGCTCAGCTCATGTAAGGAGATGAGTAATTATCAAAGGCAAATACAACTTTCACTCACAAACTCAGGGCATATGTAACAAAGAAAGGCATCCAGACTCAATTACTTTTCCTGATACAATATAGTTTTGAAATATTATTGCATGGTAGCCAAGAACATTTATCTAATGTAATTCGAAATATATAAGTATGAAATATTTATGCCCAAACCATGAAATGTAATTTTTTACTCATAGCTTTATCCTACTAGGAAGTGCTATTTTAATTTTCAAAAAGCCACACTGTTGATACAACAAATTCAAATATTGGAAAACATGTTCCATTCATACGTACAGTAAACATCCATAAACATACTGAAAACGACATTCATTCAGAGTTCAGACTCCATTAATTTCTCTCCTTTGACGCATTATAGTTTTGAAGTGTAGTTCAAATAGAAAGTTTTTGATACTTCCATTTACTCCTGCTACAGACATTTTTCTCTCTCTTTTTAGTGTTTCTCTCACTTAATTAACTTTCATTCATTAATGAACCAACTTTCACCAGAACTCATCTCTTACTCTCAATCAAAACATAGGTAGCACTGTAATACTTTTTCTTTTTTTGCCTACCTGCTGTAGATTTCCTCCTCTCTAATTGAAACTCTTGGTTTTTTTATTTACAGAATATGATTTATTTTATACTTTTACACCCAAATGCATGCATATAAATCTGGAAATGACCATACCCATTTTAACAAAATATCAAGACATTCAAAGATACATCAGCAGTTCAGATATGTTACAAAATGACCTATCAACACAAAGATATATCTATAGACTAATATGGGAGAAGGCGCTCAGTAAATCGAACAGCTTAAGCATGACCTAGAAAAGTCACCCAACCATAAGGAATGTGAGTTTTCAATTCATAACCTCCGTATTGCAGGACCTAATGAAACCAGTGAAAGAAAATATACTTAAATACAGCAAAAAAAAAAAAAAAAAAAAAAACCTTAATGCAGCAGCACAGGGAGAATGAAAACTAAAACTTCTCCATTAAAACATTTTAAAAACCCTTTCACATCTTGAAGCAAGCAGACTCAAAAAAATGCTTTGAAGAAGAAATAAGAGCATGAGAGAAGGTATATATATAGAAACAAACCACAAATATCATGAGAGCAAATGCTGAGTCTAAACTAAGATTTAGAGAGACATGAGAAAAACATTAATGTAGAACAACTTTTTTTTATCATGAAATGCAGTATACAAAGAAAAAGAAAGAAACACCTTGATTCAGAAGCGGCGGATTTTGAATCGGAAGCGGCGGACTTTGAATCGGAAGAAGTCGACGACCCAACATTTTTGGTTTTTCAAATGGCCAAGCAATCTCAGTACTACTCTCTCTGCTCTAAGAGGTGAACAAAAAGGTGAAGGACTAGCTAGCAGTTATAAACTTCACCGGGACGCTAAAATGCGCTGGTTGTACATTAGTGGGAAAATGGACACGCAGCTGAACCCTAAAGCTTGCAAATAAAGTTAGTTACTACTAATATCTACTATATTAGAATTACGGAAAGTTCACATAAGTCCCTAGTTATAGGCTCTATATTTTTACATAACCTAACTACTAATTATATACTCCCTCCGTTCCGTTCTTTTACTTGGAATGTATACTAAAAATAAATTTTTATTTTTACTTGTCACTTTACGCATATCAAGAGAAGACAAATTTTTTTCCCTGTTATACCCACGGTATTTATTACTCATTTCAAATCATTTTCACAAATCCAATAAAATATAGATCAATTAATATGGATATCAACAACAACAATAACAACCCAGTAAAATCCCACTACTGGGGTCTGGGGGAGGTAATGTGTACGCAGACCTTACCCCTACCCCGAAGGATTAGAGAGGCTGTTTCCGAAAGACCATCGGCTCAAGAAAATAAAAAGACAAAAGGAGACAATATTAGTATCAGCAAAGAAATCATATGAAAAACAGGAACAACATAAAATTCAGAAGAAAGATGCAAAGCAAAAGCGATAGCTAGTAAATAGTTCGTGTGCTGAAACGTGAAATAGTAAGACACAACATTGCCACTAACTATCTTAGACAAAAACCCTACCAGATTGGTCTCGCAATGGTACAAAGAAAGGAAAAACTCAAACTACCTCATCACCTACAACCCTAATACTCGACCTCCACATCTCCCTATCCAGTGAAAACGTGCCAAGTAAAAGTGAACGAAGATAGTAGACTCCCTCTGTTTCAAATTAGATGAGGTAGTTTGACTCGGCACGGAGTTCAGGAAATGAAAACTTTTGAAACTTGTGGTCTTAAAGCTTAAGGGGTAAAAGTTTTGTGGGGCCATGACATTTGTGTGGGTGTAAAAACTTCTCGTTAAGGGTAAAGTGGTAAAATGAAGAGTTTAAAGTTGAATTATCTCCAAATTTATAAGTGTATCATTTATTTTAGAACAAACTAAAAAGGAAAGTGCCCCATCTAATTTGAAAAGGATGGAGTAATAAAATTACAAATATGCTAGTTATGCCAGCCCTATTTGGTTCACAAAATTGCATCAAAACTGGGTTGGGTTTGTGCGGATCAATGTTTTAAAAGGCGGTGGCGTGAGGCGAGGCGTTTTACCTCTGACGAGGCGAGGCGTAAGCCCTGAGACATGGGGCGTAAGTCCCACGAATCTTTAAATTTTACTAATTTCAAAAATTTTAAGATAGTATAAAATAAAAAATAATTATAAAAATTACATCAAAATCACAAAATTATAACAAATAATCTATTTAAAATATTTACGAATTATAATTTGACTATGAATAATACGAAAAGTATATCATAATATGCAAGTTAGTTGCAACGTCGTTAGAACTCCAACATCAAAAGTAATGTATCTGATATGAAATATTATATGTATCTCTTAAGGGTAATAAATCTTGAAAGAATTTCAATATTATAATTTGAAATTTACTTAAAATACTACTTTTATTTAATATGCTTTCTATTCGAAAGAGAATTTATATAAAAACATAATTCACAATTTAAATATGATTCTTTAGCATCATCTATTGTTAAGTTTCAACAAGGTAATAAACTGACACATAATTCACCATACAATATCATGATAACTAATTATTTGTAAATAGCTACTAGCTAATACTGAGATATTAAATTAATAAGTATTGTATCTCGTAAACGTAAAAAAAATATTTAGGAAAATGATTTAAAAAAATTATGGACTATTATATAGTAAAGACATAACAAAAGCTAATAAATAAATACTTTTGAAATGAAAGATTTATTTAAAATTTACTATCATAACAGTCTTAGCGGATAACGTGTAATAATTTTTATTTTAATTGTGACATAAAATACTCTGAACTTAATGATTTATGATTAAGAAAGAAGTAATTTTGAATAGTCAACGATTTGTTAAGAAGATTTACAAGGTTAGTTACATACAATTGCATAAACTTCTATTAGGCGAGCCCAGTACCCTGGGCGTTGGGCGTGTCCGGGGCGTAATCCCCGGTGGCCGAGGCGTAAGTCTCACGGAACTAAGCCCCACACATAAGCCCAGGGGCGTTTTACGAATGCTCCGCCCCGAGGCGAGCCCCGAGCGAGTCCCAATTTTGCCTTTTAAAACAGAGGTGCGGATCACCCTTTAACTAACGTATAAATTGTAGTTTTCGAGTCTATACGTTTAAATGATGAATGAATCAATTTATAAATTTTAAACATCAAGATCATATTTATAAAGATTTAAATATAATTTCCTACTCGCTAAAGGTTATTGATCCTTACTATCGCCAAAGACTACTCCACTTATCCATTGGCATTTGATTTCTTCCAATTAAAGAAAATGTGAATACTAATAAAAGGCTGAATTTTAGTTTGTACAGTCGTTTATTTTATTTTATTTTCAAAATTATATCAGAATTTGAAGAACATGTCACTGAACCACTGCATAACAATGTTGCATTGTTCAGAGATATATTTCATGTATGCTGTCAGGGGGCAAGACCAAAAACTTTTATGATGTGTTGATCCATATAAGGAAAAAAAGATTATGTAACATGACAAAATAGCAGGTTTTTAAATTATGTATGGGGTGTGCATGCATTATATATTTATTTTAGTGGCAAATCCAGTACTACTTTGACAAAATGAATTTTGAGACAAGAAATAGCAGGTTTTAAAATTATATCTAATTCTATCCATAAAAACTCGTTTTTCGTAAACTGCGGCAAACTCGATTTTATTTTGTCTTATCCGGTTTTGATTTTGTGATTTTCAGTTTCGAAAAGATGACATGCAATCAAACCAAAATAAATTTGGTTTCATTTGATTTTTCTTTTATGATTTGGGTCGATTTTTTCCAATTATCTTGGTTGTATCATATAAAATAATATGAATCTATCATTACCAAACAGTTATATATATATGAGTGCTGAAAAAATAATAACTATCATAAAGAATGAGAAGTAATATCTCAAATCTCTTCAATATATTTTTGTAAATTCAATTCACAAGATTGAAAAAATTAGACATTGTTGATTAGATAGTAGTACTACATACCATAATCAAAACAAAATTAAATGTATTTTACATAAATTAATATGTGTACATATACATACAGAACATACTAATTAACCAAACTACAAAATCAAAAACAAACCAAATAAAAAAAGTGGTTCATTTGGTTTTTTTTTTTAATTCACATAATGCACACCCTAATATTTGAGATAAAAGATATAGGAATCCCTTTGAACAAATCAATTAAAAAGCAGAAGGGGTAAATCTTAGCCGAGTATAATAAATACTAGATTCGGCCAAAAGAAGAATGGATCAATCGTCTATCTCACGTTTTTTCGGAAAGTCCCCCTGTTACAAAGTCCCTCATCTCCTTTACATACTAAGAGAAACTATCCTAGGTTGTTAGGGGCAAACTACCAGGAATATCGACCGAATATTCCCAATGTCCCCTAACGGACACACAATATTACAAGGATCGTACATTTTCCTTTTTTATAGCGAGGTCGTTCCTTTGGGGACGTTGGCTCGGCGGGGACCATTCGTTGGTCGTGGTTGGTCAAATTTGGACCCATACACCTAAAACGAATACTCTCTTATTTTGCGTAATGTTGTTTGACTGGATATGAAAATTTAAGAAAAAATGAAAGATTTGTAAAATTCATTATTTAAACAAGTCATAAATATTAGTATAACTATATATAATCTAAGTAATTGGACGTTGAAGATAAGGGAGCTATCTATAAGATAGGAAATACAGCTACAGTGTATTTGGCAGCTGGTCTAAAAGATAGGAAATACAGCTACAGTGTACGGGAGAGCTACTCCAAATTTCTGTCCTTGTCTTATTTGGCAGTTGTTTCTTATTTTCTTTTAATTATTCACCTTTTCTTGTTTGTAGTCTATTTATAATCATGTATAAAGCATTACTGCAGCTGGCAATAAAATTAATTACCTCTTTTGAGTCTAGTAGAAAGAAGTTGTGATATGACTATATCTGATCTGATCTTGAGCATGGTATGCCTTTCATATAATCAAGTATCTAATCACCAATTAATTCATTAGTACTGTAGTCAACCGTGGAAAGTATTCCAAATTAGTTCTCCTAATAACTTTCATGTAGTCAACATGTAATTCTATGGTTTGTATGTATTTGTTTTGTCAAACAAAACAGATAAAGTAACTTTAATTTGTAACTCAATAATTAAACGATACCCCTATAATCAAACTATATACATGTACTGATATACGTTATAAGCTCAATATTTGGAAAAGAAAACTGCGTATGCACTAATTAATAAAATTTTCTTCATCTTCGATTTCGTCTGTTCCGTGTCGCCTCTCTATTTTACAGTAGTTTCCGATGATTCTTCGCTCTCCGATAGTTTATTCTGATATTTTCTGGGGATTTCACTTTGTTCTGAGAAGTTACGACGAGAATTTGGTTTTGGTCGGAAATCGAGCTCGGGCTTTGACATTAATATGGTTTCGAGTGGGTTTTTCTTGTGTTTCTGAGCTCCAGGAGGTCAATTGAACTTTGTTCTAACCTTGAAGGCCGTCTTCTTCCGGTTGCGAAGAAGTGTGGTACCTCTTACCCTATTCTTTTCATACAGTGTTGGTGTGAATCTTTCTCTGTTGATTTCAGTGATTTTAAGCCTCAATTGCCTCATATCATGTGCAATTTTTGTTCTCAATTGAGTCAAATATGACTGCAACTAGTTCTACCCCTGCTAGCTCTACATATATTCCAGATCCTTCTGGTCCTTTATTCATATATTCCTCTGATGTTCCGGGTACTTGTCTGGTGCAAGTTCCATTTTGTGGAATCGGGTTGGGGGTTGGAAAAGAGAAATATGATAGTGGCATTGTCAGCAAAAAATAAGATAGCTTTTATAGATGGAACATGCTCTAAAC